TCCAAGTCCAGTACAGAACGTAAATTAAATGAAATAAATCACACGATCACTGGGAAGAACTCAAAGAAAGAAGACTCTTGAGGAAAAGATATTTTGATTCGACTTATAGACTGAAATAAACCGATATTCTCTTTTTGCCACTCTTTCCTGGTGCCCTGGGACTCTGAATGTAGGATCAGTATTTTTCTCACAGGTCCGTTGTACGGATTGTACGGGGGGGGGGGCAGACCTTCTGAAAATAGTCTTTTGTTGTAGTTTTAATATGTAAATTTTGATTTAGTTGCTGCTTGCACCCTCCCCACTCTTTGTTTCTCTACGGTCATACATAGGCGAATCCCAGCAAAAATGTAATGACCCCCCCCCCCCTCCAACACACACTTTTTTTAAAATGTGTATTGCGATAGGACTTAAAATTGGAAAAATTTTCTGTATATCTCTACATCGAAAAATATAAAACAAATATTTTTTTTATATTTCCTTTTTAAAACAACATAGATAATTATGCATAGCTAATTAAATACTATATTAAATATTTATCTTTGCAGACAATATGCTCTGGGTTATAGAACATGATGTGAAAGCGTATCGTAATGCACCTTGTAATCCTTTGGATTTTCAGATTTAAGGCCAATGCGAAAACCCAAAGACGCCGATATTTTATTATGCTACTGTAATCGAAGATCCGGGGGGCATACAGTTTTTGTCCTGTCCACCTGTCTATTTGTCTGTTAGACTGTGTTAGCCTCTTTGTCCGCAAAAACTTTAACTATGCCCAAAAAATTGTTTGGTTGGAACTACTGCTTTCATATTTCTTATGTGTATTCCTAGTAACAAGGACTTCCTTCAGGTACCAACATATTTGACCTCTTGACCTTGAACTTGGAGTTTGATCCTCTTTCGCAAAATTTTACCAAACTATAACCTTGGCCAAAACTTTCGAACAGTTGGTGCTATGGCTTTTATACTTCACATCTGTATCCCTTGTGATAAGTCTCCTCCTTGGGTATAAATATGTTTGACCATTTGACCATGACCTTGGAGTTTGACCAACTTTTAAACAACTTTAGCCTTGACAATAACTTTTGAATGACTAGTACTAGGGCTTTTATATTACATAGGTAATTTTCTTGTGACAAGGCCTGTCAATGTATACCTTTAATTTTGACCATTTTACCTTGACCTTTGAGTATGTCCTACTTTTGAAAAACTTTAACCTTGGTTTTAACTTTTGAACAGTTGGTGCTAAGGCTTTTTTAATACCACATGTGTATTCCTTGTAACAATTAAGACCTTCCCTCAAGTACAAACAATTATGATCCCTTGACCTTGGAGTTTGACCTTTTAAAGAAATTAACCTTGGCCATAACTTTTAAACTGTTGCTGCTGTGGCTTTCATACTAGTATATATTTCACAGTATATTCTTTGTTCAAGACCTTTATTTGGGTAATAACATTTTTTTTTTATCTTTTGATCTTGACCATGGAGTTTGACTTGCATTTGAGAAACTTTTAACTTTTGCCATAAGATGCCATATGGGGCATCAGTGTTTCAAAAATCACACGTTGTTCAGTATCCAAATCGGGCATAAAACATTTACAATGATCCTTTAAAGCAGTGAGTTGAACCTAATAAATTACGACTATAGAAATTATGATAATTTATTTCGATGTATGGTCTTAAAAAACGTTTATTATACCTCTGTGAAAACTAGCTTACAAGTGAAAAATCACTAGTAAAATAGAATTTGATTGGCCGAGAAAGTCACGTGTCCATCATGTTTGCCCTGCAACAAAACGTCGTGTTTCACGATTGTGACATCACAATTAAACGAGTGAGGAGTTAGATTGTTTATAGCGACGCTGCTAACTTCGTTCGCGCGGTAACAACAACTAAAAATTCACCCCAAAAAATCACCTTAATTAATGGAATTGCATACAGATAGTAGATTAAACGTTCTTTGTTAAAATGTTTGCACTTTTCAAAATTCGTTTATGGAAATACAGCTAACATACGTCATGATACGTCACAGTCTAGACGTTCCAAATGTCTCGTGCTGTTTGAAGAGGCGGATCTTAAAATTAAGTGAACAATGCACTCGCCCAACGGTCGCACCGTCAACATATTATCGTTGATTGATTGTGTCGATTTAAATGTGTAAAAGTGTAATGGTGTTTGAATGTTACTGGTGTGATCACACAAACTTGTCACGTAGGAATTTTTTTTTTAATGAAGCGAGGCTATTGGTGTACCTGTAACTTACATCTCTTTCATATCGCTCTCATCAAATGCATGTTTGCTTTATTCATTGGATCTCCTTTGTAATTCCTGCATTTTGGTTAATTCGGTATTAAAAAAAATTTATTGCATAATAGTGAGGGAGACATAAGATTTCTTCGCAAATGAAAAATCATATTTCCCTCGGGCGTTGCCTCCGGGGAGTATGATTTTTCATGGTCGAAGAAATCTTCATGTTGCCCTCGGGGAATATGATTTTTTATGGGCGAAGAAATCTTCATGTCTCCCTCACTATCATGCAATAAATGCAAACTGTGAACTTGTCAATTCCGAAACACACAAAAGGGTATCGCTGATATCATACAGAGTGTATCATTGCCTTGATCAGGCCTATAGGAAGCAAATTCAGGGGGGGGGGGGGGGCAGCCATACATTTTCAGTCGACAGTTCAGGGGGCACTACTACCATAAATTTCCTGACAAGCAGAAAAAAAGGTCACCAACTACCAAAAATTCCTTGACAAGCAAAAAAAAAAGAAGGTTATCAGACGTTTTTATTGAGGTGGCACAAGCTATAGTATCTATGTCTACTATAGTAATCTATATATCGGCAAAATTATTGGGGGGCCCTCCCTCGGTTCCTACGGCCATGTTGATTAAATTTAGGGTCACTAAGGAAAGAATGTTTTGACTGGATGAATGGTCTGAAAGAACATGTGTTAACTTGTCGAGTCGGTAACACATAGATGGGGTTTGCTTATAACCAGAGTGTGTCATGGTTTGATGCAAGGTCATTTGAACGAGTTCAAGGTCATCAACGGAGAAACAACATTCCTTAACTGTCTTTCTACTGGTGAGACATTGCAAGTTGATACCCCTTACAAGATTGCTTATAACCTTAGAATGTGGCATGACCTTGACTCAAGGTCACTTCTTCCTGTTCGCAGCTCCAACGGAAGACCTACTCGTTGCTTCGCAACGAGCTCTGCTCTAGTTTTATTTATAATTATATAGGTATTTATTTTCAATTTGACTAATTAAATGCAGCATATCCTGATCTGTTACTGCCCAGTGTTCTGTCCAGTTTTTATGGAGTCATTCAGGCATGTCCACAACTTATCTGATTAGATTAAAAGGCCAACCGTCTTTACATAATCGCTCAAAGAAGATCTGTCGCGATACAAAAGAGCGCCCCAGGAATGCAACTGTTCCGTCAGGGAGCTTAAGAATATCCCACATACCTGAGTATTTAAATTACAAAAAAAAGTATTGTAAATAGAAAGAACTCAATGCACTGGGAATAGAGAGAAATAGATAGAGATGTTATAACCAGAATGAATTAAAAGAATTAGTTTTTAAGACACTTCTCTTCAAAACTTGAATGCAACAATGATTTAATATATTATTTGTTCTGTCTTTCTGTGTCAGATACAAAATGACAGAGTATATACTGATTATAAGGGAAATCAAAAAAAGAAAAGCAAAAACAGTCTTTGAAAACTGGATGAGGCTACATGGTAACCAAGTAGTTCACATGTCCGAAATTTGTGTAAGTTTATCATGATGATTATTTCTGTATTGTAACATATAATGAACATGGTTGCCATGTTGCACATAGATTTGTATGATCACTATGTGTGACTATAGATAGGAATCTGATATTGCTATCTCCAAGAAAAATCTATAATTATTATACCTATAATCAGACTGATGAATTGAATCAATGCTGAAGTATTCAAGATTATCTCTTAAATAATCCCCCCCCCCCCCCCCCCGAAAAAAGTATTTATTTTAAAAAAAAAATCACAAAAACATGTAAGATAAAAACATAGCTCATTGTTATAATCCTGGTCTTCATTTGATTTCCATATCCTTTATAGGCTTTAACCTTGACCTAGTGTATTAAAGCTTATACATTCAATGCTTGCAAGGGAAATTCCATCTATATACATGTGTATTGCACAATCAAGCTTACTTGGTATTTTTGAAATTTAAGAAGGGTTTGGTAATATTAGATATCGTGTATTATGAATTTGTTTTCAATCAATGTTTGTTAGGTTTATTTTCTATGGATAACATTTGAATCAAATCTCAGGTCTCAGGGTCCCAGTCAGTAAATAAGTAAATACCTGTGTATTGTTTTACATGAATCTGCAGGTATTACTTGTTTCACCTGATAGCCTGAGTGTGTTGTTTCAGGGCATGTAACCTGTCATCACTGATTACAATCAGACAGGTATTTACCTATATATATCACAGCTAAAATCACCAGGTGAATACACAGGAACACTCAGTATTGACTGGGCATGCTTCATTAAAAAAACAAAAACATATGGAATCTAAGGGTCAGAGGGGAAATATGTACACATACTTTCATATATTTTTTTTTAATTCAGATGAATCACTGTACATATGTATTGTGTTTACAGAAAAAGAAACATGTTTTGGATGGCTGAGAAATGACTTGATTCATTAGAATTTTTTTTTGGTATAAATATTACTGTGAGCACCCCCATCCCCCCTCCCCCCATTTTTTTTTAAAGAAGGGGGATCAGGATGTTTAGGGAAAGGATGGGGTAGGTGCTACACATGTAGTCTTCAAAGTCTACCACTGTTCACCTCATAGCTGGTATTGAGTCAGAACACTTTCTGTAGCGATCTTTTCATTTAATGATCCGTGTTAAATTCATGCAGCATTTTTGATCATGCTATCTTTGTCTAAGACTTTCTTTGTCTTTTTCTCATTTCTCTGTTGCCTTTTGTAGGAGATAGCCAGCCACTACAGATTAAAACCAGCTTTCTTTCTGGACAACGCCACGAAGTTTGATGTCATTCAGGGGGACCTAGGTAATAATGTGATTGTCAAGTCAACCTCCATTGCAGTCACTAAAAATAATTTTAATTTTTGATATGGGCATGATGGGTAATGATTTTCCCAACTGCAGAATCTTAAAAATCTGTAATGAGTGAAAAAAAAGTCATATTGATATTCTTAAGTTATCTATCTTTGACCAGGTGACTGCTGGGTTGTGTCTGCCATTGCCTGCTTAACAAGTCCAGATCACCGGGAATTATTTCGTCGTGTTGTACCAGCAGACCAAGGATTTCAGGATGGCTGGTATGCTGGAATCTTCCGATTTAATTTCTGGCATTTTGGAAAATGGGTGGAGGTGGTCGTGGATGACCGATTACCGACATATCGGGGACAGCTGATGTTTGTTCACTCTTTGCACAAAAATGAATTTTGGGCAGCATTAATGGAGAAAGCATATGCAAAGTAAGTAAAAGCAATCAATCAAAGTCCAAACAATCAAAGAAAGTCTATCTGTAAAAGTACATCCATTTTATCAAAGTGCTATGTAATACTCCCCCTCAACTTCTCTATGAAAGGCCTAGTAAAAGCAGTTCAGAAATTGACTATCAAAGTGGGGTCTGGTTTGTTTCTTCATTTAGTAAATTTCTGAACTGTTTTCATTAGGCCTTTCATAGAGAAGTTGAGGGGGAGTGTTAAAACGAGCCATCAACTTCTCAATAGAGAATAAAGTTTATGGCTCACAACTGCACTAGAATTTGAATGACATGAAAATATGTTTACATAATCTTTCACTATCAACAAACATGTTTATTTATTTCTTTGGCAGATTGTATGGCTCCTATGAAGCTTTAAAGGGGGGAAATGTAGCAGATGCCCTGACAGACTTCACTGGGGGGATATGTGAGGGGTATACACTAAGGGGAATCAATGCTAATGTTCCTAGGAATATTGTCAACATCTTGTTTAAAGCCCTGGACAGACAATCACTGATTGGTTGTGGCATCAATGTAAGTAAAATTGTCACTCATTGGCTGTGGTGTAAGTGTAAGTAAACTTGTCATTCATTGGCTCTGGTGTCGATGTAAGTAAAATTGTCACTGATTGGCTGTGGCATCAATGTAAGTAAAATTGTCACTCATTGGCTGCAGTGTCAGTGTAAGTAAAATTGACACTCATTGGCTGTGGTGTCAGTGTAAGTAAAATTGTCACTCGTTGGCTGTGCTGTCAGTGTAAGTTAAATTGTCACTCTTTGGCTGTGGTGTCAATGTAAGTAAAATTGTCACTTGTTGGCTGCAGTGTCAGTGTAAGTAAAATTGTCACTCATTGGCTGTGGTGTCAGTGTAAGTAAAATTGTCACTCATTGGCTGTGGTGTCAGTGTAAGTGCTTTCAATCATTTTGTAACATTAAAATTTGTTAGTTTGCATGTAAATTTTTGAAATAAGACAATCAAAATTAACTAAGTTTGTACTGTATCACGATACATACATGGTGATTCAATATGCGTAATCGTTAGCCCTTAAATTGCTATCAATGTGATTAATGTATCACTGGATTGTTACATCTCTAGTGATTGGCTATTGCAGCAAAGTACATGTAAATGAAATTTTCTCTGATTGGTCGAGGCTCTACATAAGTGAAACTGACAGTGAATGGATGTGGTATCAATTTGTCAGTGATATGATAGCTTTTTGGTTATATTGTCAACAGTTAATCGTAAGTCATGATGTAACTGTTGTGGTGTTTTGAGGTCAATTTGTTTGGCTATCCCAGTATTCTCTCACTAAAAAAAAAACAAAAAATAAATAAAATTTGAATTTTTACTGGAAGGTAAACTTAAAAAAAAAGTTTTTTTTTTTTACCTCCAAATTCCAATGATTTACACTGAATGTACTGGAAGGCTGATCTTTTTTTTTTTTTTATAAAATATTTTATTTTTATAGCCAGTAAAAGGTCACCAAGGGGAACAGAAATTGCCGAGTGGATTGGTGGCGGGACATGCTTACAGTGTCACAGATCTAAGGGAGGTAAGTGCTGATGTTGAATACATCTACAGTATTATTTACTGCAAAATAAACAATTAAACATACCTTCTGATGTTCACTTCCTTGTAAAAAGTTGTAAGATGTTAAAAGTGTAGTTTTTGTGGTGCCAATTTTTGTGGCTGTTTTATAAATATCACAAAAGGGAACAATTTCAACATATTCAAATCCAGTATCTTTGGTATAACAGTTTGTCTGGAAAAAAAGGAATGGCAAAGCAGAAATTAAAATGCTACCTTTGATTGTGTCCATACTAAAGAATTTCAAGCCACAAAAATTGTCCTTACACAGTCTGCTATTTTAGCATCATGGCAAAAACAGAACACAGCATTTAAAAATAAATAGTGGTAACTTCTAAAGTAAAATCAGTGCAGGATTTTCAAAAATAAAAGGCATTTTACTATCACAGTTAAACTTGGTTATAAAAAGTTCATTTATGAGGAAATGTAAGCTATGAGGAATATTTTTATGAACCCAGTAGAAGACTTTTCACTATAATCCTTGTACAGTGAAACTTGTCTAATCCGGATGTTATATATTCCAAAATCTTGCCTAATGCGATGTAAGCTTTAAGTCCCTTCTAGTTAATTCATTTGTTTGAAATGTTGTCTAATCTGGAATGTTGTCTAAACCGGCCAATTTCTTTGGAACCAGTGGTGTTTGGATTGGACAAGTTTTACGGTACATATATAAAGAATGTGGGTAATAAGGAATGAAAATTTGAGCATGTTGAGGTCCCAGTGAATTCTTTATATCTGAACACTATCTGTACACTAATTTACAATTTTTCTCTTCAGATTTTGTTGATGACTGATAACAGAGAGACACCCATCACTTTAATACGAGTCCGAAATCCCTGGGGGAACAAAGTGGAGTGGAGAGGAGCGTGGGGGGACAGGTAAGTAGGGATGGGGATTGTGTGGAAAATGGAGGGTGTGTCTATGGTCAGGGACAGGTGTGTGGGGACAGGGAGGGGATTGTGTGGAAAATGGAGGTTGTTTCCATGGTAAGGGACAGGTGTGTGGGGAGGAGGAGGAGGGGATTGTATATAAAATGGAGGGTGTTTGGGGTTAGGGACAGGTTTGTGGGGACAGAGAGGGGATTGTGTGGAAAATGGAGGGGGTGTCTGCAGTCACAAAAAGGGGAGAAGAAATGAAGATTTAAGGTTTCATTTTGCTTTGTCAGGTACTGAGGAATCAATCAGATTTTTTATGGATCATATTTTTATGGATTTTTGTAGATTATTGTGAGTTTGCATTATCAAGGAAATGTTACTGGGCAAACGTTACATTATAAAAGAAAAAGATTTTGTGTTTAAATTGACTTTACTTGAGATTTTAATTCAGATGGTTTATGGGGATAAACACAAATCTAGGAAATTTGAATGGACGAGAAGGATGCTAAAATTAACTGGTTTATTGTTACCATGGTTACAGTGTATGAAGTATGAGTATAGTGTTTAATAAAGGAATATCTTATCGAAAACTGAAAACAATCTCCAGAAATTGCACTAAAATTAACAAAACTATTTTTAATAGATATAAATAAATCTTTGAAGGAAAAATTGTGATTTCAGATCACGTGAGTGGAACAGTATCCCAGCAGACGACAGAGAAAAGATGGGGCTGATCTTCAGAGATGACGGCGAGTTCTGGTAAATAATTAATTAATGGCTGTACTTACAGATATCTTATTGTGTCAACGAATTAGGGCCATATTTCTATACAATCTTAAAGTGAGATATTAACAGAATTCATTGTAGAGATCATTTTTTTACACTTTCATATACACAGGTTTCTGTTTATATGATATTCAGGTACATTTGACTATCTCACTACTATACTATTTGTTTTACAGGATGGAGTTTACAGTCTTTATGCGTAACTTTGATTATCTATTTTACAGGATGGAGTTTACAGTCTTTATGCGTAACTTTGATTATTTATTTTACAGGATGGAGTTTACAGTCTTTATGCGTAACTTTGATTATTTATTTTACAGGATGGAGTTTACAGACTTTATGTGTAACTTTGATTATTTGTTTTTACAGGATGGAGTTTACAGTCTTTTTGCGTAACTTTGATTATTTGTTTTACAGGATGGAGTTTACAGACTTTATGCGTAACTTTGATTCGTTAGACATTTGTAACCTGACCCCTGATTCTCCGGTGGAGATGCCTAAACAGTGGCACACAGCAGAGTATCATGAACGATGGATGAGGGGGTATAATGCAGGGGGGAGACCTAAATACAGGGGTAAGTGCTCAGAATTACCTGGAGAGGGGGTTTAATGTGGAAGGGGGGCTTGGGCAAATACAGGGCAAAGTCTGAAGAATTCTTGGTGCAGGGGAAATGTTGGGTGGCAGAAATATGGGAGAAAGTCTTCCTGATTCCTGGCAATTGGGGTTCAGTGCTTGGGGGAAAACCTAAATACAGGACTGGGATAAGTGTAAAGAATTTCTGGCACAGAGATTCAGTATTTTTTGAAGAATGATTCAAATTCCAGGTTTAAATAAACAATATTCCGTTGCAGAGTTGTTGAATGGGAGAGGGGGAACACGGAGGAAGTAGGGGTACACAAAAGTGTGCAAAGTTCTTTTATTTAAAATTTTGATGATATGAAATATTTAGTTTTATTTACCCTATTTTGATTCCCAAGTAAATTGTTTGGAAGAAAAACCTGAATTTTTCATGTTTTTTTACTTGCTGTTTACATGTATGAATTGTTGATTATATAAACAAATTGATGTTTACATCAGAGAGGTACGAGTATACTCAGTCACTCAGTCTGTTTACTTGGTGTGTTTTCAAGTGAAGTATTTTTTTTATCTATTGTAGATTCTCATTGGACAAACCCCCACTTCAAGGTGACTTTGTCAGACACCGATGAGGACGGGGACAAAGTCTGTAGCTTTATTGTTCAGTTGATGCAGAAAGATCGACGGAAAATCAAACACAAGGGAGAGAAGCTCATCTACATAGGCTTCCTTGTGTATAGGGTAAACAGACTTTTATAATGATCTCTTCTTCCTGTTTATCTTTATCAGGAGGCTATAAGCTATGAAAGTCCACCCCTTATTTTATATGAGGGTACATGCATGGTCAAACTTCGTTATCTCAATCTCAATGGGACCAAGGAAAAACTTCGAGATAACCAAGAGTTCTAGAAATTGAGGGTAAAATACATAGAAAAAAAGTGGTTTGAACTTCCAAATGACTTTGACATATCCATGGTATTTGAGATATCAGTGTTAGAGATACTGAAGTTCAACTGTAGTTGAAAATACAGTCCCAGCAGGCAAACGTTGAAAATACAGTGTTAACTTTTTCTGTTGTAGTTATCACGTGACCATACTATTCCTCTAAAGAAAGATTTCTTTGATACCAATCAGAGTGTGGAATCTAGTGGTCACTTTATCAACATGCGTCAGAGAATCGCCCGCCTGTCCCTACCTCCCGGGGATTATATTGTGGTGCCCTGTACCTGGGATCAGAATGAGGAAGCCGATTTTTATCTTAGATTCTTTTTTGAGAACAGAAATGCTGTGGAGTAAGTAATGTTTTACCTCGCAAGCTCTTAATGATAATCACTTTCTGTGTCTTTGGTCAATATCACTTGACATGGGTCCTTATAACTACATACCGACCTACACTGAAGTCCATAATTGTATAGTAGTTTATATAAACTTATTTATGATCAATTAACAACATTCTCCATATTTATACCTGTTATTAGGAAATTTTTCAGGAAGTTCAAACTTTATGGTCAAGTAAGTTAAATGAAAAATAGAAATGATGTTTCTTCCAGAGAGGTAGATGAGGCCCCGGTGAGAGAAGAGGTGCCCCTCCCCTCGACTGATAAAGACAAGGAGGAGAACTTCAAACGTTTCTTTCACTCTGTTTCAGGGGAGGTAACTCTTACTTAGATTAGTTTACTTCCTTACAAGCTGTCTATAGACTGTAAATTCATGATAACCACAAGGCCCAAGATCATGAAACATCTTAAGCTTAAGTCAAAATCTTTATGATGTACTGATATATTGTAGAAGTTAAGCAGACCAAAATTAAAATATTTTTCAATTTTGCTTCACTAAAGTGTTGTTATCTGCAGCAAATTTAGCCATTAATTCAATAATTAATAAACATTTTACAGACTATTGAAAATCTGACTTAGGTATTAGTCTGTTTCATGATTCTGGGGCCAGGAGATATAATTATTTGTTTACCTGTATAGTTTGAGGATGAATACAGAGATAATTCATGTTTGTGCTAATAAATCATTGTGATATATATTATAAAATTTGACTGAAATTACTGAAATGAGTAATGTATTAATTTGCAGTAATGGGTACTGGTACGTTACACTTAATGTAAAGCAAAATACTGATCGGTTAGGTCAAAATCAAGATAAAGCATACATGATTTGTTTTTTTTTTGGTCATTATGCACTTGATCTACACTGTAAATTTAAATGATTATCCTGAATGCTAGAGATTTACATTGATACAATAAAAGTATGATATATTGAACATATATCTGAATATTTAAAATTTCTCAGCTTTCATATTTTATTGAATTAACTGTCTATCTGCCTTTGTAGAGCAGACAACTTGTAACTTTATAAGAAGTTGACTTAATCTCTTGTTTTAGGATATGGAAGTGAGTGCATTTGAATTACAGACAGCCTTAAATGAAGCTTTACAGAAGGGTAAGAAACTTAACTGGGGTACCCGGTATATTGTGATTTATTATTGCATGATACTTTTTGACATACAGAGACCGAGATATTGGTATATAGGTACATAAGTATAAATTCCAGAAAGATATTCATTTATTTGTTCAAACTTTTAAATTACAATTACAGGAAGTGTAAACAATATTAAAAATGGTAAAACGACGACATTTTAGAATCTAAACATGCTTTAAATTATATAAATAAAATGAAAAAAAGTTAAGTTTTTACAGCATATTTATAAGCCTTACAAAATTAAAAAAAAATTTATGGATGTTCATTTAAAGTCATAGTAAAAATTGTGGTTGAGAATATCATGATATTATTTTGATATTCTGAGAAAAAAATTATCTATTAGTAAGCTAGTAAGTTTTTTCTAAAGTGGCAGTTTTAATTTTAATGAATAGATAATGATTTATTGCAGAACCTTTGCATCATCACCTAGGAATACAGGCGTGTAAAGCCTTTGTAGCTTTAATGGACGTATCCTTTGTTCTTTTAAACATGAAGACATATAGCAAACAATTGTGTATATACAACCATTATACTCTCAACTAAAAGTAAAGATAAAAAGGAGCTATCTTCCCATCATTTTTTCTATTCTAGATGTTCACAATTTCAGAATCACATGATTATATGCTTTCAAAAAAAGGCTATTTAATAGAGAGATTTGTTACACATTGTAAATAATGTTTTATATGCATTTATAAAAATACGAGGGGCATTTGAAAAGTTCTGAGAACTGTTTGATAAAATATTAACCGTTCAATGAAAATTACTGAGTTTGATATCCTTGGACAGATTACAAAAATATACATGTGTATTGTGAGGTCACTTTGTAAACTTTATTACGTAATAATTAACTCCAAAAATGATGTCAGAATCTCGAATGTCTAGCATACTGACCATAAAAATGACGTAACAAGAGACACAATTTCAGTGAAGTAAAATTTTAATGTCAACTTTTGCTCATTTCTGGGATGCACGCTAACGGACACAACTACCAATTGGAGAATGTTTACATAGACTACAGTCTATCATATGGAGTTATATTCAGAAGCTCCTATAGTTCTAAGGGGGTTTAAGAGTGTGTCAAACATAGCATGTTATAATCGAATCTCGCGCAAAATTTTGGGCAAAAAAGACGCTGTTAGGAGAAAATCACAAAGTTTACAATCACAAAAAAAATAGTGGATGATGTTACAGAATTTGCTGGCATTAATTTGTCAGATGTTTTAACCAATTTTGCGGGAACGATTAAAGCTCAAGAGAGGTTAAGTTACTGGTGTCCTATATTTTCTCGTAAGAACCAAATTGCCCCAGTGTATTTCTAACCCCACCGTAACCTGATATGTAAGAAAATTTAAATCATGGAAAATAAATAAGATTATATATGGCAATGGAACTCAAATTTATTTTTTTGAGTCGAAAGTCAAAAGCAATAGTGAGTTTTGGATTGCCGAAGTTGAAATAATATGAAAAAATATGCACAGAAACAAGTCCAGGGGAAGACTTTTGCACATTTTATTTGTAAACGGTAAGAGTCCTGATACTCCAGATACATTTGTGGAAAACTGCATTGTTTAACTTCAGTTTTATATAGAATATCTTTTATTCATTATAGTGGAGAGCTATATAATAGACCTAAAATCAAGCTATATCGTATAAATAAAAATCTTTAATGAATGCCTAAGATAACATTGCCATGCTTATTAACCAAGCAAAAAAATAAAATATAGAATTGTTGGTTTACCGTACCGTTCTTACAGTCTTACTCTACCTCCATACAAATTTTCAGTGAAATATCTTTTGAAAGAAGCCTTTACAGCACTTTTTCGATATTTTCATATGGACAAAAAACGCCACTTTTCAGTATGCTAAACATTTGAGATTCTGACGTCATTTTTGAAGTTACTACGTCATAAGTATAAGAAAATGATGTTATTATAAGTGCAAATTTTTCAGCTCTTTTCAATGGTATTATACTTAATATTAACTTCTGTAAAAGGGTTAATATTTTAGCAAGCAGTACTCAGAACTTTTACAATGTCCCTCGTATTTAATTTATCTTATGACATTGCTTATTAGATTTATTATATTATGCTTTTCAAGCATATTCACATTTAATCATAAAACAAAAAGTATCAATTTCATAGAAGGTAACTACTCTATTTAGCACCTGAACAGATAAACATGGCTTATGTTTTCCTTAACAAGCTTTCAGGTTGATGGATCAGGTAAACTTGGTTTCACAGAATTCTTGTACCTCTGGAATTTACTCCGCAGTTGGAAGGTTAGTGTTGAATAATCATCAGGAAAAAAAATTATACAAATCTACTCAAAATCAGAATAAATTTCTGTGAAGATAAAATTGTTTGTTAAACTATTTGTATGTTCCGTTACAGAGGTTGTTTTATCAGTACGACGTAGATGGCTCAGGGCTGCTCAACTCGTTTGAGCTCAGACGAGTTCTGGGTGCAGCTGGATTCAAGGTAGATAACTCCACAATGAAGACACTTGTGTGGTGGTACGCAGATGAAAAATTCTGTGTCAGTCTGGACAACTACTTCATCTGTCTTGCTCGTCTGATGAAACGCTTTAGTGAGTATGATGTGCATGCAATATTTAATAATGGAACATAATTACCTACGGTGGAACATACATAGCTATATAATCTCTCAATTAAGGGTAATATAAAATTATGACTGATTAATTAAGTGATCATTTTCCTTGTGCATAAATTCAAATTTAACCAGTTTTAAGTTCACTTAAGCTGAAAGCTCAAGTAAGCTTTTCTGATCACCTGTTGTCCGTCATTCGTCCGTCTATCTTTCCATCCATCTGTAAACTTTCATATTTTCAACTTCTTATCAAGAACCACTGAGCCAATTTTAACCAAACTTGGTACAAAGTATCCTTGGGTGGAGGGGAGTATAAATTGTAAAAATAAAGGGTCAAACCCTATTACAAGGGGAGATAATCAAGAAAAGACAAAAATAGGGTGAGGTCATTGAATACGTGTGTGATTTTGGTTTTGAAAATTACCTAAACATGTTACCAAATGATCTTAGATTATATTTATGTAAATTTCGTTGTGTCAGTCATAACTTGCCAGTTGAAGCTGGTAGATTTTATAGTATTGATAGATCTGAGAGACATTGTAACCTCTGCAATAACAATGAACTTGGTGATGAGTTTCATTATTTATTTCAGTGTCCTTTTTTTAAGAATGAAAGAGAGAAATTTATACCTAGCAATATTTACACAAATCCAAACACAATATCTTTTTATAATTTGATGAATACTTCTGATATATATGAACTAATAGGTTTAGCTAAGTTTTGTAAAACTGTTCTTAAATTATTTCATGCCCGAACTTCCTACAATGTAAACATATAACAATTTTTTTTAAATTTATATACAACCTTCGGTACTGTCCATAACAAAGATCTTTTTGTGGTTCATTATGTTAACTGTTCACATGTTGATTTGTTCAATTGTTAAACTCTTATTGTACTAACATACCCCATGTGGGGGCTTTAGTGAAAATAAAAGTTTCAAAGTTTCAAAGAAAAATCTTCATCTCAAGAACCACTGGGCCAAAAAAGTTGAAACTTATATGGAAGCATCCTGGGATAGTGTAGATTCTAAATTATTAAAATCATGACCCCTGGGGGAAGGGCGGGGCCACAATAGGGAATCCAAGTTTTACATTGAAATATATAAGAAAAATCTTTAAAAATCTTCTTCTCAAGAACCACTGGACCAGAAAACCTTGAACTTAAGTGGAAGCATCCTGGGGTAGATTAGATTTTAATTTGTTCAAATTGTGACCCCTGGGGGTAGGGCAGGGCAGTAATAGGGTTCGAAGTTTTACATTGAAATATATAAGAAAAATCTTTAAAAATCTTCTTCTCAAGAACCACTGGACCAGAAAACCTTGAACTTAAGTGGAAGCATCCTGGGGTAGATTAGATTTTAATTTGTTCAAATTGTGACCCCTGGGGGTAGGGCGGGGCAGTAATAGGGTTCCAAGTTTTACATTGAAATATATAAGAAAAATCTTTAAAAATCTTCTTCTCAAGAACCACTGGACCAGAAAAACTGAAACTTATGTGGAAGCATCTTGGGGTAGTGTAGATTCTAAATTTTTCAAATCATGACCCCCGGGGGTAAGGCAGGGCCACAATAGGTATTACAAGGGGGGAAATCTGGTAAATCACATCATGGCCAAAGTTACTCAGGTGAGCGATGTGGCCCATGGGCCTCTTGTTTATGATATGTTTTCTCAATTTCAGATGAATTTAGCAAGCTGAAGAAAAATGATCAGATTTCCCTCTCTTTCTCACAGGTAAGTTCATATATGCTACATGTAACATTTCAATGACTGGCAGAATTCTCCCAATTTCACCAATCCTTACCAATTTTCTGAGTGAGATTTTTAGAAAAAATCCCTATTTTCCTTATTTCCTGACTGCCATACTGTTATGGGTACACCATCTAATTTAAGCTGTGTTCCTGACACTGCTTTAAATAATTGTTACTTACAATTCAAAATTTCAAGTATAGAAAATAAATAGAGTTATCATTAATATTGTTAATGCTTTAAATAAATGCCCACTTTAAGGATAAAATAGCTAAATTTGTCAGTCAGTAAAATAAACCCATTCTACAGTATGTTTTCAATTTGAATAATTAAGTTTTGACATTTTCCTATTTCCTGTTATTTTTCAGAATTGTTGTTTACATTAGTGGAATAGGATCTCAATTCATGTTGATATTCTTATTAAAACAATGATTGCATGGGAAATATTTTTGAACTTTTAGTATATTTAGTATATTTAGAGTTTTGTTTTTTACTACAGAGTTTAAGGGAAAGAAGATTTTAAAAACTTAAGAAATTTTACATCTGAACAAGCTCATCAATAAATGGAAACTTCTTTTATTTTCAGAAATGATCATGCCTGTATACTTGTAATGATATTAAATGTGAAAAAAAAATGTTTTTGATTTGTAAATTTTCTATTTCAGTGGTTGCAGAAAGGTGTTTCATGATTTTATCAGGCCACATCCTCTGGTTAAATGTCTATAATCAAGCTGACTGTGATAATTTTCCGGAATCCCACGATGCAATGAAGCAATGTCACATGACAACTTTAACTGATCCGGAATCCCACAATGCAATGAAGCAATGTCACATGACAACTTTAACTGATCCGGAATCCCACGATGCAATGCAGCAATGTCACATGACAACTTTATCTCATCAAGAATCCCATGATGCAATGCAGCAATGTCACTTGACCTACTTTTCTTTGTGAAAAGATAATGTGCTCAGTTTTATGTCTTATGTTTTCTGTTTTATGGAATAAACAGGGTTTACAATTGTATATCATCTCAAAAATCTCAGGGTTGTGTATTACACAAAAATTCAGACTATTCTAAAGGAGTATTCAGTGATCTTAACCTAGTTGGTTTGTTTTAGAATTTGTTTTTAAAACAATATATAACTTCAGATCATTCCAAATACTTAAGATTTCCTGCATTGATAACAGGCAGCTTAATCAATTTACAGTAAAATACTGGTAGATATCATTCAGACCATGAACCATTTGTTCTCGTTTGTTTCTTTTAAAGTTTAAAGCAGCTTTATTCTAATTTTTTCAGAATGAATATTAATTCCTGTACAATTCAGTTTACATGTGTTTGTTGATATTTTTATGTGATATTCTAATTATTCCATCTTTACATTTCATTGTTGTATTAATGTAACAGTGTTATGAAGGTTGATATTTTGTTGTTTTATGCTGTACATGTAAGTATTTATATCTATAGATCTTTTTGGTTTTGAGTAATATATGTATTTGTATCTAATTTTCTACAATACATGTGTATCTGTTTCTGCATTTTTAAAACTCAGTTTTTTGAGATCTGATATTGAACATTTTTGTTTTTAAAAACTGTTTTAAGTCTTATCTTCCTACTGTTAAGAACTTTTCATGGAATAATATGCATGTCAAAATATCATTTTTGATGTCATTAGAAATTTAATTCTATATAATTTTATTATAAATTTACTGTGAAATTTTTTAAAGTAATTATATATTGTATTACACATTTGATGTGAAAACATCTAAATGGCTGTTTCATTTAAAAAATAAAATATTTCATTTTGTTTTGATCCTTCTCTAATGTTTCAAAAGAATGCATTCGCTGAAAAGGAAAAATTAAAATAGATATAACCAAAGGTCAATTTTTAAGAAATTAAATGACTAATTGATTGATTTACTGTTAATTATTATGCAGCTTAAGTATTATACACTGTATCAGATAGTGAATTTGTAAGTCTTCTTCCTGAAGATCAGAGTAATTTTCTGAGGCTTATGGTTTTCCTATACAAAACACTCCTTCTCATGTCTTCATGTACAGTAAAGAGAAAATGACAAAAACTAATCAAAAGTTTTACTGTTCAAAGGGTGTTTCCTGAGTCTTTTATCTTAACATACTCCTTGTACGTTGTAAAATTGGAGCTTGAACAAGCTTTAATAAGATAATGTAATCACATATAGGCTTTAGTTTAATAATACTGATACATTGAGATACATGTAAGAATCCCATACACAGGCCATTCTTTTCCTTAAATATCTGCATGGGAGATAACTCTTTCATGTACTTAAGAAATATTTTGTTTTCATTCATCCTCAAAAACATTTGTATCTAAAAATAGATTTTAACACCCACAGATCTTGGCACTCCATATGTTTTCTTGAAGAATATTCCAGAGCTAAAACAAATTTCGTAATTTTCAGTTTATTGCAGATTATCCTAAGTTAGTACATAATGTTTGTTTGTTCAGGAAATTTTCTAAGTGGAATTAAGCTATGTGGGGTTAGAGGAAAACTCAAGTTATCTACCAAAAAAAATTAAAAAAAAAACAACAACACCAAAACTCATGGATATAATTATATGTTAAAAAGCTGCACTAATATGTTGTAAATAAGATACACTGTAACAATAGGATAAACATTGTCAGTCTCTGGGTTAAATATATTTAATTGCAGCTAATCTGTCACATTCATCATTTAATTCAGCTTGGATATTGTATCAAATATCAATATCTGTGATTAATATTGTGAATGCATTCTGCTATGAATTACCATTATAATACTAGACTAAGTACAGTAACAGAATTCATTTCAAATATATGATTTTCTTCACTTGTCTGTTTCTACATTGAGCAACAAACAGATTGTCATTTGTATCGATACACAGTCCGCAGGGTTTACTCAGTCCATAGTCTATGTAACAGAGGAACTGTCCATCCTGGTCTGTGATGTGGACACATTCATTGTCATAATCAGCTATAAGGATGTGACTCTGACTGTCTTTGGTGATTCCTACTGGATTGAATGTTTTGTTCTTTGGAGCAGGAGTATGTCCAGTGTACCTGAATCTCAGTTTCCCGGTCTGATTGACCACCACTACTGCTTTAGCTCCATAGTCAGACACACAGATATCCAGGTTCCTGTTCTCAGTAATATATCTGTCATAAAGACCAGATGAATAGAGAGGTTTACCTTTATCATCAAACTGAATGGTTTGTTTCTCTGTGGAGCCAGAGTAACAGACAACTTTTGTTTGTTTGTAATCATCACTGTCCATGATAACCAGGAGGTCATCAGAGGAGGTACTACAGACACTGAAAGGTCTCCAGTACTGTAGTCTGATCACCTCCTCTATCTCCTCATTCTTCACAATGTTCACAGTTCTATCCCAGTAATCAGTATAAACTAGATCTCCACTTTTTGTCACTGCTATGTCAGTTGGTAGGTTCCCTGACTTGGTTGTGATTGACTTGAGTAGTGATCCCTGATTGATGCTGTAGAGTTTCATGGTGTTGTCATTTCCTCTTGTCCAGATTTCTTCATCACTCAGACAGGCCACAGTGGTAAGGTATATATACTCAGTGTGTATGGTGGTGACAGTCTCTGGTTCATCAAGCAGCTGTTTGACTGGAGGAGAGGATCCAGCTTCTGGTGATTTCTGTGTTGTCTTTATCTTGTAGCCATGTTTATCTGAAGTTAAAGAACTTGATGCTGAAGTACCAAACAATTTACTTAGTTCTTCTCTTTGAATTTTTCCAGGAATGAATTTAGGTTTTGACGGCACAAGTTTTTGTGGAAGTTTTTTGTATCTGTCTACATTGAATTTAACGCTGAACAGTTTTGAGAAGTCATTAGAGTCTATAGTGACATGAACTGAATCTATTTCATCCTTGATGTAAGAAATTGTCTTGTTTATTTCATCCAGATGTTTCTGTAGAGTTTGTAACTGTGTATTTTTCATCTCATCAACTTCAGCTTTAAGTTTCTTGACAAGTTTGTCAACTTCTCTGTGCCAGTCCTCTCCATGTTTTGTTATGGCTGTTGAGAGATCTCCATATTCCTTTTCTAACTGACTCATTCTGTTTTGTACATCAGAGGCAATATCCTGGTAGGTTGGAAAAAATGTCTCTTTTAACTCAGTTTGTTTTTGAATTATCTTGTTCTTTTGTTTTTCCACAATTTGCAAAATTTTTAATAATTTATGACCTAGGTGTTGGTCAGATGTTAGGCAACTATTGCAAACAGGAATGTCACATTGATTACAGTACATTTCACACAGTTCTTTGTCATGAGTTGAACATCTAGGATAGAGAGGAGTAGATTTCCTGGACTGAAATTTGACAACCTTGTGATCCTTGGATTCATCAGATATCATGTGTTTCCCTACACAAGCTGTACACAGGTTGACAAGACATGTATCACAGTGCATCTGTACCACAGCGGTCTCACACAGGTCACATCGCATCACGTCCTGTGCACTGGTACGGGGGTCCATCATTAAATGCAGTATATCTTGAATATACAAAAAAAATCAACATTTATTTCTAAATAGTGCATGTCTTTACAAATGAAATACGAAGATTAGAAAAAATATTACCTACACTATTTTAGGCTTAAATTTACAATCAATTAACCCTAACAAAAATACTATAGTTTACTATAGTTAACTATATTAAATCAAAGTGTCAAAGTTATCACTATATTAAATCAAAGTGTCAAAGTTATCACTATATTAAATCAAAGTGTCAAAGTTATCACTATAGTAAATCAAAGTTTTCAAAGTGATCACTATAGTGTCATAGTTATCACTATAGTAAGTCAAAGTTTTCATAGTGATCGATCACTATAGTAAATCAAAGTTTTCATAGTGTCAAAGTTATCATTATAGTTAATTATAGCTAACTATAGTAAACTATAGTTAACTATAGTATTTTTTGTTAGGGAAGAGCTTTTTTCTCTGGTCAATTAACCCTTGTCAATTTTTAGCTCAAGATTATGGCCAGTCATCAGAAGTGCTAAGTTGATTCTATATTGTCAGTCCACAGTCAAACTGTTATGCTGTCTGTCTGTACATCTGTAATTTGTATACTACTCCTCCTAAGGTGTTGGTCTATTTCATTGAAAGCAGTATATGGATGTTGATGTAGATGTATGGTAAATTGCTATAATTATTACAAACAGAAATTTCTGTAAGTTTCAAAATAGTATCAATTGCTTAAATTACAATTTTGGTCTGCTTTTTACTAAAATGAAGTTAAGAAGTACACTACAAAATCATATATAATTCTTAATTTGTATAAAATTTTAATTTCAATGATTTTGGTTGTCTGATAACTAAAATTATATATTTCTTTTTTGCAGAACTTCTTCAAAAACGTCTTTCCTGCACCCTTCAGTTTAGGTCTGATTTCTATAAATTAGCTTTTTCACCAATTAGAATCAACATTTAGTTACTGTAATACTTTTATTTTCATGTTTAATTATAATTATTTGCTTTTTTCTGTTCAAGATTTTGACAGGTAAAGTAAATTTTTATCGTATAAATTTTTTAACAATTGAAAAGCCAAAAGGTAGCGGTGAACGTTTTTGTGAAAATCAAAGAAATAGTTATATAAAAAAAAAAACCTTAGTGGAGGTCATGTACTGTATACACTGACTAAAAAAGAGCTAGAAAGATGAAGTTTGAGTAGTGTGTTGTTTTCATTTTGAAAATAGAAATAAAGAAAGCTAAACTCCTGAGAATTTTCTTACCTTTTTTTAGGAAGCAATATGGCGACCGCCCACTTATTTACTCGATCAGATCACATAACTAGCTTGTATCATGTATGTACCTGTATATTTTACCTGTCAGGTGTTTTATGCTTCCTGGTTTATAATAGTTACCGGAATATTTTAACCCCATCTGGATTTTGCACCCCAATGTTACACAGATAAGTCCTCAGAATAATTTAATTCAGAAAGAAAATTCACCCCAAAAGACATGCATACAAAGTAATGTTACTGGACTGGTTAAAAGAGGTTTACGTTTTGGAGACTTGAATGTATGTCATCTAATACCCAAAATTGACGAAATCAAATTGTTGCTCCAAGACAAACATTCTCTTGATATTTTAGGGCCCTGTGAAACATTCTTAAATGATAATTTCTGTGACTCAGGTTAAGATATTAGTGGGTTTGCTTTTGAGAGAAAGGATAGACGTTTTAAGTCGGTTGGGGGAATTGTTGTGTATATTTCAAATGATATAACATAAACGTAGAACTGATTTTGAAGTAAGTAATATTGAAACAATTTGGCTAGAAATCAATCTTAAAAATTCTAAACCTATTTTGACTGCTCTGTCTACCGTCCACCATCTGCCCACTCCTGCTGGGTAGAGGATTTCGCAAGGTAGAAAAACCTCGACAGTGAAATTATTATTACAGGTGACTTAAACATTGATTTACTCAAAGACCCCCCGCGATGCTGGACATCTGCTTTAGAGGAATTTGGACTAACACAAGTTATTAATGTACCCACTAGAGTTACTAACACCTCTTGTACTCTCATTGATCACTGTTATACTACCATATCAGATAACATATGTGAAGTAAGTGTTCCCCAATAGCCTTATCTGACCATTACCTTATTTGTGCAACCCGGAAATCTAATTGCATGCAACGTAGAAACAAACACATAGAAATTAAATATCGTGATTTCAAGAACTTTAACGAATCAAATTTCCTGTCTGACTTAAAATAATGAAAAGTTTGATAGTCTTGCAGAATTACACGATCCTAATGACATTCTTGATACTTTCTATAAAATGTTTAATAATGTCCTTGACAGGCATGCCAAAGTTAAATGTAAAAGAGTTAAAAGTGAAAGTAGACCAAAATGGCTATATAACGACGGAAATAAATGAAGCTAGACATTTAAAAGATTTTTACCACTATAAGGGGGATTTTGAAAAATTCCGAGTATGGAGAAATAAAGTTGTACTCTTGATTGACATTGCAAAAACTTTGTATTACAGATCAGCCATCGAAGAAAGTTCAAATCCTAGAGAAATGTGGGGATATCTTAATTAATTGGCATCAAATTCTAAAACTTTACTCCTACCCATATAATTCATAATGACTCAGAAATAAACAATTCACAAGAAATTGCTATTTTTAATGAACACTTTACAGGAATTTCAAGTTAACTTTTACTTAATCTTCCAAACTGCCGATTTAACCCAGAATTGTTAAGACATTCACAAAATCTAAACTTGGTAATGAAAACTTTTTTAGCCTTACACCAATTAGTGAAAATGAAGTAGTTAATTTGTTGAACGGGCTTGATGTCAATAAATCGACAGGCATTGACTTCATAGGACCTCGTCTCCTAAGACTATCAGCTAGTATCATTGATAAATCAGTCACTCATTTAAATTAATGCTAGTATCAGTAATGGTATTTTTCCATCAAAGTTGAAACAAGCAAAAGTCACCCCTGTATACAAAAAAGGCAACAAAGCAGACCCCGGTAACTACCGTCCCATTTCTATACTACCAACATTATCTAAACTAATTGAAAAGCACATAGCAAACCAAATGCGAGATTTCACCTCAACGTTTGATCTTATAACAAAATCTCAATCTTGATTCAGAGAATTTCACTCTTGTCAAACAGCACTTACTAAGTTAACTGATGCTTGGTTGCACGTTATGGATCAATGTAATCTCATAGGCATAACATATTTGGATTTCAGCAAAGCTTTTGATTTGGTGAGTCATGACATTCTTATAGATAAATTAAAGAATTACAACTTTGATGAATTGTCAATTAAGTGGTTTCACTCGCATCTGAATAACAGGACACAATGCGTTAAAATTGGTACATCTTCTTCTGATGTCTTACCTGTCACAGCAGAAGTGCCACAGGGATCAATATTAGGTCCCTTATTGTTTTTGTTGTATATTAATGACCTTCCATTACATGTATCTCATACAAAAATTGATATGTTTGCTGATGATGCAACTCTGCATGTTTATGAGAAAAATATATTGAGTATTGAAACAGCTCTAAATTCTGATTTAGTAAATATTGAAAATTGGTGTTTAGAAAATCAAATGGTTTTAAATGTTGATAAAACAAAATGTATGCTGATGGGAACTCAACAAAGAAAACTGAAATTAAATAATCCAAATCTCAGTTTACATGTCTCTGACAAACACCTTGACAATGTTGAAACAGAAAAACTACTTGGGGTACTTATAGATCAAACGCTAAATTTTCATAACCATGTAGACTCAGTCTGCAAATCTTTAAATAATTTATATATACCTTGCGAAAAATCAAGAATTTCTTCCTCTGAAAACTAGAAAACTGTTTTACAATGCCTTTATATTGCCTTCTATTAATTATTGTCTGACGGTCTGGGGTAATGCACCAGCTACATGTAGTTACTTGGAGAGAATTCATAAGCTTCAAAAACGGGCCGCTACAATTATTCTTGATGCTGCCCCTGATGCTCCATCTTAGGCATTATTTGAAAAATTAGGCTGGCTATCTGTTTTTGATTTAGTAACTTTACACAAATGTATCCTGTTGTACAAAATATTTAACAATCAGAGCCCTGCTTACCTGCAAGATTTATTTATTTTTCAAACTTCTAATGCTTACACTCTACGTTCAGAATCTAATTTTGACCTTCGCCTTCAAAAACACCGAACTAATTTGTTTAAAAATTCCCTCCAGTATTCTGGTGTTCATATTTGGAAAGTTTGCCTTTAGATTTAAGATGTGCACCAACTCTGTCAGTCTTTAAACGAAATGTAGAAAAGTATATCTTCAACAATAGAATTTCATTACTCTGATTTATATCTTTTGTATGTACATGTATATTGTGTCAAATGTATATTAATTTATTTGTCATCATAATATATTTATCATTATTATTATGATGATTATCATTATTATCATGTGACATTGTTTGTGTATTATATTTCAATTGCTAGTTGTCAATCTTTGCTACTCTGATGTAATATTGTTGTAATTAGAAGGCCCTGCAGAAGAATAGTGTGTCACACTAATCAGACTACCTTCTCTAAATAAAGTATTATTATTATTATAATTATTACTATTAAGCTTTCTTTTCCTCATTCAAATATTTCCAAGACCAAGAGCCATAACTTGAGAACCCATTGACATTATAATTAGAACTTCAATTTTAGAAAATTTTATGATGGGTTGTGTTTTCTCTATATTTTTAATTTTAACCAATTTCTTAAATGAAGTTCAATTAAAAAATTGAACTTTTGAAACATTAAAAATTAAAACTTGAATTTTGAACAAGAGATTGACTTTCTTTCTTCCATTTTTTTGACTTGTCTTACATCTGTTATCAATTTATCATGATATATTTCAGATCTGTAATCTGTATTTCAACTTCAAATATTTAATTTTTCCCTATTTTTTGCTTAATCATTTTACAATTTTGTTTAGGATCATGTTTCCTGAATTAACTCCGTAGCTGAAAAGTGTTATAAAATCATCAGA